AGGAACTGAAAGAGGAGAAAGTATTAGCAAGCTCAGTGGTTAAGGATTTGAATAGAGCTCTTTATAGTCCAATCCTGAGGACACTTCCCTGGGAGTAAGCCCCCTTGGATAGACCTCAGTAAGATGTCTCTGTTAGACTGATGCGGAATTGTTATAGGAAGGGTATATGAGATTAAAGTATATGAGAGAGAGAGAGTCTGAAAATGTAATACAGGTTTCTGTGAACTGCCTCCCCTATTGGATCACACAGACCTTGCAATAGCATTGTAGCTAACCCCACCTAAGAAACTTCTATGCTGTTTCTATAATTTCTAAAATGTACTTCACATCAACTGTGCATCTCTATTCCTTTCTAATTCCTCTCAACTATGTACAGCTTTCTATGTCGTGCTTCATTTGGACCACTTTGCTTTCTCAGGTCCTAGACTCCTTCTTTTCTATAACCATGGATCTGCATCCCTTTCCTCAAGCCTTGCTGCTTGTCCCAACTTTCTAAAGTCAGAGCAGTTTGGCCAGTGGCAACCCTCTGCCTGTCCAGGAAGTTCAACTAAATACCACTAAAGGTTTTGTCTCCACTGCTACATCACTTAATGCATCACACAATATAGGTTCATGTTCATGCTATAATTTATGATGCTTTAGTTTGGGAAGATCTGTTTTCTTAGTCACATCAGTTGGTGCTATTCCCCCCCTGTAAATTCCTCTTCCATCTCAACGGACTCTGCTGCTCACATGTTGTCTGTCAATCCCCTCAAGTCAAGTCAAGTGAGCCTTTATTGGCATAAAATTATCAGAACCATTTATACATTTTAGAACCAGTTAAAAGCACATATATAAGAATTCTAAAAGAACCTTTGGCGCAGCTTTAAAGCCAAACAGAGAAACTTAGCCACCTTCTCTGTAATATCCGGGCAGAGATCTCTTAAAAGTCTATTTACCTCAGAATAAATACCCATACTGGTTAGAAGAGATTGTAAATATGTGATCCTTGTGTCCATGTACAGGTTACAATGCAGGAGAACATGAGCGATAGATTCCACACATTTCTTTGTGCAAGGGCAGTATCTGTCCAGCTGGGAAACCTTATTGAATCTGCCAAATAAGTTGGCGGACGGCATGGCATTGCATCTGGCCAGGGTGAACGCTCTACGTTGTTGAGGGACCTGCAGAGAGGATAAATATGCAGCCATCATCCCTGTTGTAAGGGGAATCTCAAAATTCAAGGGGGAGCAGGTTTTATTGGCTAAACTATATAAATGTTGGTGCTCCGAGTCTAACAATCTGTTTTTAATCTGTTGGAATGCAGCCGCAAAAGGCAACATGGACAGGGATTCCAAAGAGAGACCCAATACTTTGATTTTCCCTTCAATGTATACTGACCAATTTGAGAGGTTGAGCTCGGTTGTGATATATAAGGCTCCCCTGTTCAAAGTTGTAGTGAAGGAGGAGCCAGTATTTAAAGGTTGTAAGCCACGCACAAGTTTCCATCAGGGACGAGCCAGTTTCCAGATATATGACCGCATTCGGTACACAATTTGGTAGGGCCATGATTTTACGCAGAAATTTAGATTGGACTCATTCAATGGCGTGGTCAAAAGCTCTAATCCAGATTGGAATGCCATACAATAACTGGGAACTGACTTTGGACCTAAAAATTTTGGTTGAAGCTGGCACAAATTGGTTGCCCCTGCGGTAAAAGAAACGTACTATGGCTGATGCACTAGCAGTGGCGAGCTTCACCGCATATTTGCAATGGGTAGATCACGTTGCATTATATTGAAAATGAATGCCTAAAATATTGTAGTCTTTGACTTGCTCTATCACTTCTCGGCCTTTTGGCTAAGATCAGTGTAAACATTATCTAAAAAAAAAGTAATAGTTTAATTCAATAGGACATTTTGCATTTTCTGTTTTGTACAACTGTTTCACTTGAGTAGTTTTGGTTTATGTTGGTATTTTCATATCTTTTATTGATTATTACTATTGATTATTATTAGTCTTGATTATTTATTGCTATAATATTTACTTAGTGGGTTTTGCATAACTTTTATAATATTAATTTGTTTGAATTTAAGGAGTATAAACCTTGTTCTACTGTCATAATTCATTTCTAACTTTTGTTCAAGTGGTGGGATTTGTTTAAAGGAATCCCATATTTGTTTTAGTTACATCATGTACTTGTTTATCTTCAGGGCCCATAATCTGCAAATAGAGCAGGAAAGTATTGAGGCAGTTACTGAAATGCCAGGTTTGAAATGGGCTGATAGTACTTAGTTTGTGAGCACCTCTCCTCTGGCTTCCCTGCTGCTGTAACATGGTGACATGTATCAGTCCATCAAAGAGCCTCCCAGAAAGGTAAACAGCTCCAATATACAAGAACATCTGGCTCTCATAAATTAATGGACCATTTACACAGTTAGGACTGTTTGCATGCAGAAGCAGGCTTTCCTGCTAATGTTGTCATAAGCTTTTGATTCTCCAGGTTCATCCATGAGTGTTTTGGCTTGTTCTAGTCAGTTGGTTTTAATTTATTTTACTTTGTCACTCATGAAATGAAGAGGAACCAGGCAGTCGTGAATCATGTTTGACATTGCAGCTCTTGTCTTTTGATCCTTTGGGGTTTGGTCTATTTTCTCTCTGAACAGGAAAGTCACGGAAGCTCAAAGGAGGTGAAGGTTAGGGGTGAAGTTGTTGAATTGTTCCCTCTACCAAATACAAGCTTCATATACTTACCCTTTCCCTTATTCCCACAAGAAACTTCTTTCCACAATCTTTATGGACTGTAATGCTGTCTACTGTGTGCCTTTAAACTGTGAGCTAGCTCACACTAACTCAGCTTAGAGGGAACACTGCTCACAGGGTGTCTGTTGTGGGGAGGGGAAGGGAAAGGCGTTTGGAAGCTGCTCTGAGACTCCGAGTGAAGGTCAAGGTATAAATCCAATCTCCTCCTCCTCCGCTTGTGATTTCCATTAAGCAGTGGCCCCTGGAGAAAATGGCAACACTATAAGGAGGGCCTTGGGAAAACTCATAGAAAGTCGGGAAAAAGAGATTGAGTCGGGAAAAAGAGATTGAGTTTCTAGACACTCTAAATGACTGTGCTATGGAGCAGATGGTCACGGAACCTACCAGGGGAGAGGCGATCCTTGATTTGGTCCTAAGTAACACTCAAGACCTGGTGAGAGATGTAAAAGTGATTGCACCGCTTGGGAACAGTGATCATAATGTTGTTGAGTTCAACATTTGTACAAATAGAGAATTGGCCAAAAAGACTCACACAACCACTTTTAACTTTAAAAGGGGTAATTTTTCTGATATGAGGGGACATGTGGGGAGGAAACTGAAGGGAAAAGTAGAAAGGGTCAAAACCATTGGGGAAGCTTGGAAACTGTTTAAAACTACAATTCTAGAAGCTCAAATAAAATATATTCCGCAGGTTAGGAAAGGCACAAACAGGTATAAGAAAAAGCCTACATGGTTAACAAACAAAGTAATGGAAGCTGTAAAAGGTAAAAAGGATTCCTTTAAGCGGTGGAAAGCTAGTCACAGTGAGGCTGATAAAACAGAACACAGGCTATGGCAAATAAAATGCAAGTCTGTGGTCAGGCATGCAAAAAGGGAATATGAGGAGCATATAGCAAAAAATGTAAAGACCAACAATAAAACTTTCTTCAAATACATTAGAAACAGGAAACCAGCCAGGGAGGCAGTGGGGCCCTTGGATGACCAAGGGGTAAAAGGAGTACTGAAGGATGATAGGGAAATGGCTGAGAAGCTAAATGCATTTTTTGCCTCCGTCTTCACTGTGGAAGATGAGAAGTGCTTGCCCACTCCAGAACCACTGATTTCAGGAGGGGTGTTGAAAGACCTGAGTCAGATTGAGGTGACGAGAGAGGAGGTCCTAAAACTGATAAACAACTTAAAAACTGATAAATCACCAGGCCCAGATGGCATACATCCAAGAGTTCTGAAAGAACTCAATTGTGAACTTGTGGATCTCCTGACAAAAATATGTAATCTCTCCTTAAAATCAGCCTCCATTCCTGAGGACTGGAAGGTAGCTAATGTCACTCCCATCTTTAAAAAGGGTTCCAGAGGAGATCCGGGAAATTACAGGCCTGTCAGTCTGACGTCGATACCGGGTAAATTGGTGGAAACCATTATTAAGGAAAGAATTAGTAGGCACATAGATGAACAAAACCTATTGAGGCAGACTCAACATGGGTTCTGTAAGGGAAGATCTTGTCTCACTAACCTGTTAATGTTCTTTGAGGGGGTGAACAAACATGTGGACAAGGGGGATCCAATAGATATTGTTTACCTTGACTTCCAGAAAGCTTTTGATAAAGTTCCTCATCAAAGGCTCCTAAGCAAGCTCAAAAATCATGGGATAAAAGGACAAGTCCTTTTATGGATCAAAAACTGGCTAATTAATAGAAAACAGAGAGTGAGTATAAATGGGCAGTTCTCCCAGTGGAGGGGTGTAAGCAGTGGGGTACCACAGGGATCAGTACTTGGTCCACTGCTTTTTAACTTGTTCATTAATGATTTGGAGTTGGGAGTAAGCAGTGAAGTGGCTAAATTTGCGGATGATACGAAGTTGTTCAGGGTGGTGAAAACCAGTGAGGATTGTGAGGCACTCCAAAGGGATCTGTCAAAGTTGGGCGAGTGGGCGTCAACATGGCAAATGGGGTTCAATGTGGCCAAGTGCAAGGTGATGCACATTGGAGCCAAAAATCCTAACTATAAATACACGTTGATGGGGTCTGAACTGGCAGAGACAGATCAAGAGAGAGATCTTGGAGTTGTAGTAGATAACTCACTGAAAATGTCGAGACAGTGTGTGACTGCAATAAAGAAGGCCAATGCTATGCTGGGGATTATTAGGAAGGGTATTGTAAACAGATCAGCCAATATCATAATGCCGCTATATAAATCAATGGTGCGACCTCATCTGGAATACTGTGTGCAATTCTGGTCACCACACCTTAAAAAGGATATTATAGCTTTGGAAAAAGTGCAGAAAAGAGCAACTCGAATGATAAAAGGGTTGGAACACTTTCCCTATGAGGAACGGTTAAGGCGCTTAGGGCTCTTTAGCTTGGAGAAACGACGACTGAGGGGTGACATGATTGAGGTTTATAAGATTATGCATGGGAAAGAGCAGGTAGAGAAAGAGGTACTTTTCTCCCTTTCTCACAATACAAGAACCCGTGGGCACTCCATGAAATTGCTGAGCGGTCGGGTTAGAACGGATAAAAGGAAGTACTTCTTCACCCAAAGAGTGATTAACACTTGGAATTCACTGCCACAGGAAGTGGTGGCAGCTACAAGCATGGACGG